TTGCTGGCATTGTTATTGGTGGTGTGCTACAATGAGGCATACGTGATTTGGAGATATCTAGGTTGTATTGACTCCAACGAAGATGTGCGACTAGAGAGATCATCCATTGATTCATAGGACCCATTAGTGGAAATCCCGAAGATGGAGGGTAATATTGGGGGATATGGTGCCCTAAAAAAGAAGTTGGGAGGTTGCCATGACAGAGAACGGTGGCGGGGCATATACTAGTTGTCCCAATAAAAAGCATATGCCTTGCCTATTAAATAGCTCTTCATCATCATCATCATCATCATTATCATCATCATCATCATCATCACCAACAGCAGTACATCAGCAATTTGAACCGATGCTTCGCTGCCATACAACCATGATGACCTATGAAATAGAGAATAGGAAGAGGGAGAGAAGGGGGACTTTCTTGCAAACCTTAATGCCCTAAGCAAACATTCAGGGTCAAGGCGCCTACACCTTGTGTAGACAACATACCGTCACAAACAGCTGGCTATCGTGCAAAGATAAGACGGCATGGGCGAGACAGCTTCCTTGCGGCTTTCACTGCCACGTGTCATAATCAACAATTACCCCTGCAGATACCACAGCACCAAACACACATTGAACAGGCAATCCGATTAGGAGACGGCAGCAGACGCGCCACTGGTGTCGGTTGCGAGCCATGTCCTGTAAAGTCTCGAGCGAAGCACAAGGCGAGTCAAGTTGACTCCAGCCTGGAAGGCGAGACGGACCAACGGCACCCAGTTTGGTCGTCAGTGACTTCATTTCCCGTTGTCAAGTCAACTTCTGTCCACCTCGAGCCTTGCGCCACCCTACACCTGGCAGATTAAACAAGGCCCTCCTAGGTAAGCGGTGACCAGGCATACGTAACACGTGCCCAAGCCAACGCAACTTATTCACTGCTATCTGTTGTTCTAAGAAACTAGCATGATTATCACTACCTAGTACTCCTCTACGCACATCATCGTTGCGGACGCGCTGGGGCCATCCGACTCCAGCAATGCTACGCAGACATCGATGATCGAAGACTTGAAGGCGCCTCAGATCTTCAGACCGAAGGGGCCAAATTTCGCTACCATACAGCAGAACGGCCCTCACTGTGTACTTGTATACAAGGCCATTCAGACGGAGGGAAACTCCCTTCTGTCGCCAAAGATGGCGCAGGTTCAAGAAGATCGCTTTGGCTTTTGCAATGAGTGAGCTAACGTCAGTTTCTATGCCCCCATCATTGCTGATGCAGCTGCCAAGATAACTGAAATGATCAACCACCTGGAGTTCCTCGTTAGCAAGCGTCAAGGGGTCATCGAGTGGCTGGTGGTCCTGCAGCAACACTTTGCACTTTGAAGGTGCGAAGTGCATACCAAATAATGGGACCACTCTGGACAGGCTTTTCAGGGTTGATTGGGCCGCCCCAACATTGTCAAAAAGCAAGACGACATGGTTCGCAAAATCTAGGTCAATTAATCAGGCAGCACTTCAACGCCTACATCCTGAGATTTCGCAAGGGAACACTCCATGATACAATCCACGACGAAATTGAACAAAAATGGGGAAATCGGACAACCCTGACGAACGCTACTTGTGGTCGGAAAGCTGTCCGATAGGCCACCGTAGACCCTGACGCGGCCTGTAGTTTTCGAGCATAGAGCACGAAAGATGTTCACATATTTCGTGGGAACACCTTTCCGCGCAAGTATTTCGAACAGAATCGATCGATCGACTGAATCGAACGCACTCCTGAAATCGAGGAACACAGCTATTGTCGGTCTGCGGTACGCGTGGCGCTGCTCTAGCACCTGCCGGGAAGTGAATATATGGTCTATACAGCCACGTCTTGGGCGGAAACCGGCCTGCTCTTCCCTACTCCGAGATTCCCGTTCCGCAGTGAGGCGACGAACAAGAATCGAGGCCAGTAATTTTGTCACCGCTGGCGTTAGGTTAATACCCCTGTGGTTAGAACAGTCTGTGCGACTGCTCTTCTTTTATATTGCCACTATAATCGATTCGCTCCAATTAGCCGGGACGCTCGCTTCTTTCCAGATACATTCGAATAAGGAGGCCAGTGTTTTGCAGAGGACCTCACCTCCATCCTTAAATAGTGCAGGTGGTAGGGAATCCGGGCCTGCGGCACGAAAACGATTGAGTGCTGTAATCGCGTTTTGGACCTCGGCCTCTGACGGAGGCTCTAAACTAACCGACCATGGCTCGTCCTGCATCACCTGAGTAGGAAGAGGTCCGGGAGCAGGGGGCCAGCTAAACTGATCTTGAAATTGTTTCGCCCAACGAGCCATACGGCGCTCCTTATTT